GTCCAATCTCGCGTGGTACGCAGACCTGAGCATGCCCTAAAGTGGCACCAGCCAAGGCAGGTGTTGCACTTGACTGATGTCACATTACGGAATGTCCTGGTCTGACATACCGTGCAGATTGTAGGGGGAACCAGGAGTTGTTGGCGGCGGCGTGTGGGTGGTGGTGCGGTTGTGTGTGTTATGTGGTCTGTCGTGGCTGTGGTATGGTCTGTGGTGTTATTATGTTGTTGTGTTGTGGTGACTGTGTGAGGCTGCTCGGGTGGACTGAGGTTAGCCGTGGAGGCTGCTCTGTTTGAGCAACAGGGGGCCACGTACGACGTGGACCACTGTCGATGTGTCCGTAGTCCCGAGCAGACTCTAAGGTGACTCCACCCCTCGCAGGCATTACACTTGACTGAGGTGGAGTTGTGGTGTAGTCGTCTCCGGCATACACAGCAGGTGTAGATTTCTGGCCCTGGGTTTAACTCGATGCCAGCCCTGAGTAGAAGAATACGGAGTGAATCTAGCCCTATGGACGAACAACTTCTGGGATACTTCGCCGACCTAAACGGGGTTAGATCGCCGAAACAACAGCCCTTGGTCGGGTAAACCCCGAGTCATTTCGGTACGTAGAACCGGCTGTAAATAATTATGTTTGCTTAAGTACCCGCATCGAGTCTTACGTTTCGAATGTTGTAGTTGTAAGTTTTAGAGCTTCACGGAAACGTTTATTGCACGAGAACTAATGAAGCGATTTCAAAGAAAGGTGTGGCGTTTCAAATAAAAAATTCCAAACCTATCGATGGACTCATTTTTGTAAGTAACCAGTTCGGTTACTTTCGTAAAAAGAACGGTAAATTTGGCTTACTTTGGGGTCAATTTTGAGCCTTTAAAGTGCTCCAGCAGCTTATGATTTCCAGATATATCTTTAATTTTCGGGATATAGATTCTTTGGAGCAATGAAAATATTACCCTTAACAGATTTTATATAAATTCAACAAATATTGAGCTTTTTAAAGCAACAAAATTTTGAATAAATTTGCAATTTTGTTATTACCAAAATGCTCGAATACGCTCGAATGATTTTGTTTCGGTCTTCCTTAGTGAAAAACCCAAGATTTTTCCTTTAATTTGGTATATGGGAAGTATGGGTTGATATCTTCTAAGTATGTTTATTTGATTCAAATATATGGGCATAAATGATTTTCCATGCAAAATCACTTCGTTTTGCAAACATGTGCATTCGTGCGGGAAGAAGACAAAAAGTATGTGTGTATAGGTATATCGGCTTTTGATTGACAGATGGCGCAATATTTATAACCAAATCGCAGCGTTAATACATGCATACGTACATAGATAAAGGAAGGATAAAGACAAAGCTAAAAATAAAAACAAAAACAAAGATGTGTAAAGATAAAGGAAAAAATGAAGACCTAGGTAAATTTAAACACTTTACTTAAATAAGGGCAAAGGAGAAGGGGAATATGTAGATGAAGAATATGATAAAAACAAAAGTAAAATAGATAAATACATATAAAGAAAAGGATGAGTATGAGGATACCGATAAAAGGTATGATGAAGATAGAGGAAGAAAGATTAATATAATGGTAATTATAGAGAAAAGGATATAGATATTATAATCTACATATATTTCATGGGTTTTGTTATCCATATTTTTATCGATTTTGTTATCGAAATGTCTATCTATATTGCTATTAATTTTGCTATCGATATTTTCGGAAATTATCGATATAATAAACGATATTTTTATCGATTTATTATAGATATTTTAATCGATTCTGTAATAGATTTTTTATCGATTTTGCTATCGATTTCGTTACAGATTTTTGTCGATTTTGTCATTTCAAAAAAATTCTCAGAATCCCTTTCACATCTATAAACCGCTCTATCCACAAATTTTCCCGCAAAAATTCGAACTTGACTGAAATCCGAGGTCCAGTTGAGAATTTTCACCCATATGTAAAGTTTAAAGAATTTGCCCGCACCACTAGTATACTCTAGCCACTAGCGGCACCCCGGGCATACGCTCGCGGCACCCCAGGGTGCGGCGGCACCCACTTTGGGAAAGCCTGTACTAAAGTACAAATTTAAGGTAGCGTTAAAAAAAAATACAAAAGTCAACGGTAAGTCCTAGCTACTTAAAATTTTCACCATATTATACTAAATTTTAATGGACTACGAAACTTCGAACATACCATTTTGTAAAAATGCTGATTAAAAAGTTAAAAGTTCGTGAAATTTTTGCACAAAGTCTGAAATTGATACTAATATGGTGTTTGTTGAGTAATCAGCTATATTTTTATAAAAAATAATAAACATTAAATAAACTAAATAAAAATAGCCAATACTTGTTAAAATCTCGCGTCATATTTTATATTTGGGTCACTATGTTTTTTCCAAAGAAGGACGTAGCGGAGACTTTCTTTTTACAATTTTTGTTATGAATGGTTTCAATTTAAGTGCGAAGTTTTATTCGCAACACTTAAAAAATAACGAATGAGAATAAAAGAGCACGAATATCGATGTAAAGCAAAACTCTATGAGAAGATAATATCTGTGAATCATTAGGGGTATTCTCCAAATCTTGCAAAGCCATTGCACGTAGCACGGATTGCATGGATTGCATAACTTGCAAACACACAACAACAAAATACATGGGAAACGACATTTCCTATCGCTGCAAAATATGCAACGTCGAAACCCATGTATATATTTTGCAAAATAGCATAGCAAGATATATGCGACCCTGTGCTAGTTGTTTTGTTGTTGGAATTGCTACATATTTCTCTCATTCCTCTCATCTCGCTCACTTCATTTTTTTCTGCTGTCTCTTGTTATTGTATTTGATACATAATTTCGCTGCTTGCTACCCATGCATTCTACCACTTTGCAATGGGGTGCTCTCGTACTCTTCGAAATTTGGGATAGTATTTTTGCATTTCGTGCAATACGTGCATCGTGCAATACTTCGAGAATACCCCTATTGTATCATGGTGCCAACATTGCTTATTATTGCTCTGAGACAGGCATTTGAGAGAGTGAGTAGGACATTAAAAACAGGAGTTTCGAATATTATTAAGTAGTAGAGTTGTTAAAAACATAAAAAGCGACCGGCTTGTTCGATATAAATAAATCTGCTTCATCCTGAGCTTCGCTTGAAAAAAAAACCCCAAAATTTGTCATCCGCCGATAGTAAAACCATTTAAACGAAAAGTGAAAAGTGAACCGGTCCGGGGAAAATGAAACTCATAATACGGCTGAATGGCTTTTTCTTTTTTCATCAGCCTTTTCACCGCTTCATGTGTTCATTTCTCAAAATATTTCCCTCCGACTAAGCAAAATACTTTATACTAATATAGCCATTTTTCAGGACGAAAAGTTACCTAGTGCAAATGTTACAATGTAAGGCAAAATTTTTTAGTAAAAAAGAAAACGCTATAAGTTTGTAATTGATATCTCTTTTTCTATTAAAGAGCCAATTTACACGACGAGTTTTCACCCTGCGTTTTTGGCATGTTGCCTTTTAAAAAAGTCTTCGAAAATCCTCGAGCATTTACACGATGACTTTTTCTTTGCAGCGTTTCTTGCGTATTTTTGACATTTAAGCGTAAAATCTTCTTTGGTTGACTCTTTCGTCCTCATTTTTAAAGCGGAGCGAATCGCGAACTCGAAGCAAAAATACGAAAAAGTGAACTCGATAAAAGCGAAATGTCAAAAAACCCCTCGATTTCGCTCACCGTGCGTGCTTGCCTACCCCGCTGACTTCGCTACACTTCTTGCTTACAAGCTCGACACGCATGTCTTTTCACCCAGGGTGAAAAGTCATCGTGTAAATTTGCACTAAGTAATACAAACAAGACTACGTATAACGACAGTTTCGTTTGTTAAACAAAAATAGTTTGCAATGAATTTACCAGTGTCTGTTTTTGTGATTTATTTAACGAGTGGTGTAAAGCTTTGCTACGTATAACCTTTATTAACTAAAAAAAATAATGATTTTACTAGTCCTTCTAGTTGCGATTTCTTTAGATAAAACATGTAAATTTAAGTTGAAACATTTTAGCCTTTTTTAGCCGGTTTTTGTTTGCCAATATAGCCGGTCGGCCCAAAAAGTTCGGGCAACACTGGTTATATGTTGTATGTTGTTCCATTTTTGTTTTTAATTCTTTTTTTTTAATTTTTTCCCTGTTAAAGTTTGAATTTTTTTCCATTTTTCTAAAAAAAAGGCTGATACTCGTTGCATTCGGTTGTGCTTAAAGTGTACTCTCGTGACTATCGTAGTGTTTTCTCTTTTCTTCAAATTTGGCTGCTTTATTCGTCTTCTTTGCTTTGTATTCCGCACGTGTGTATAATATTTTCATACAAGTGTAAAATAAGGGGAAGATGCCCCGACGGGGACCCCTCTTTGGGACAATAGGTTTTCCATTTTAATGGATAGCCCAGAACGAAAACGAAAAAAGGCTCCATCGTTTACGAAAGATAATTTTCCAACATTACCCGTATTGAAAAAAGACAATCCAAAATTTTTAGTGGCTAGTTCATTAGATCCTAGCAAACCGTTGAGCAAATATTCCTGTTTGGCTGTGCACAAAGCGCTAAAGGGTATTAGCATGGAAATCAATAACATATCCCAACTAAGAGATGGTAATCTTCTTCTTCTTGTAAAAAGCAACAATGTAGCAAAAAAATTCTTATCAAGGGCACAATCTACGCTCCATGCCTAAATGACGTTGACGGAAAGTCTTTTGCAAGCGGTGTGCTAGTGCTTACATTCGATCGGTATTACCTGCCAGAAAAAATTGAAGTGTCATGTACTCCAATGAGATGCAAAAGCTGACAACTTCTTGGTCATACATTTAAACGCTGTACAAAGGCCCCTGTATGTGACAACTGTGCACTTCCACCTCATCTCCCGATTCAATGCTCTCGTACCTTGTGTGTAAATTGCTCTGGTGCTCACCCTTCTTCAAGCAAAACATGCCCAAAATTCGTGTAAATGAAGGAAATTATCACTATTAAAACTGACAATAAGTGCTCTGTTCGTGAAGCCATCCAAATTCACAAAAAACTAGTTCCTCCTACACTAAACGAAAACTCAACTTCTATCGCTGAGAAAGCAGAACAAAATAAACAACAAAACAATCCACCTGTAGCTCACGCAGTGAGCACACGGAAAAATACTGAAAACATAATCCAAAGCAATACAAACAATGAAATAGAAAACAACGATATCAGTACAATAACAACCGAAAAAGCATCTGCAGTCTATGCCATTAGAATATGTCCCTCAGCCCTCTTCATACAACAGCTCTTCTCTTCCTTATCTCAATTACGTTACTGATACTCAAAATAACCTACAATAAAAGTGCTCCAGTGGAATATTCACGGTCTTTTAAACAATTATCCAGATTTAAATATTTTAATCAAAGAATACAATCCAGATGTAATAGCTCTACAAGAAACTCATGTACCAGCTAACAAAAGAGTATACCCGCCAAACAAATATTTTAGTTTTTTCGACAACAACACTAATATCAATTCTTGCAAGCAAGGAATCGCGTTATTCGTTAAAAAGCCCATTCAACATAAGCTTGTACCTATTACATCAAATATTCAGTCATTAGCAGTAGAAATAGATATTGGTTTCAAGTTAACCATTATTTCATGCTACATTCCCCCTGAACAAAGTTTCACCAGTAGAGATATAATTGATATCCTTAATATGGTTTCCACACCTATCATTTTCTTAGGGGACTTTAATGCTTGGAGCCCGCTTTGGGGTTCAGCTTCAACCAACAAAAGAGTAGAGATATTAGAAGGCGTTACTCTATCCAAAAATCTTGTCATCCTCAATGACCGGTCTCCCTCCCACTTTTCAACCCATAAAACTTTTTCCAACCCAGATATTACTTTCTCCTCTGCCTCCATAGCTCCAAAACTCTTATGCAAAACACTAGACGAACTTCACAATAGCGACCACTTTCCTATTATAACTTCCCTTTCCACTACCAATTCCTATCATGTCAAACCCTTTCCGAAATTCCTTGTTGAAAAAGCTGATTGACCAAAGTTTTGCTCCATTTCTGCAAAATTATCTAACCAAACCCCGTCTCGACTAACATTAATGCAGAAGCTGCCGCAATCAAACGCATCATTCGCACAGCAGCTCACATAACGATACCGCAAAGTAGCACCAGAACATTCGCTTCGAAACTTCCTTACTGGAGTAATCTGCTCACCATCCTCATAAATAACAAGCATTTAGCTTGGAAAAGGTTTAAAAGAAACATGACAAATGAGAATTATATAAAGTACAAAAAAGCGAACTCGGAATTTAGACGGGAACTCAAGACGTAAAAACGACAAGCGTTCGAACACTTCACTTCTAACATTACGCAATTCTCCAGCACAAAAAGGCTTTCGTCCGATATTAAAAGACTTATCTCCACCCCTCAATACAACCACATTTCCTTCATATGTTCCTCAGAAGATCCCATTTACGAACCGCATAGCATAGCAGATGTTTTCGGTTCTACTTGGTCAGAAGACTCTCATAACTCCAACTTCCACACTGACTTCAACACCCTAAACAGCAATTACAATACTTTCCTCTACCACAACTCCTTTCCTTCTCCTGAAGCCATAACAGCACATCAGTAGTATTGTTATGCCGATTCTGGACCAGTGCAAGCAGCGCTGCTTGCACCGGTGCAGAACCGCTATACGGTTTGCTGGTGCTCTGCCGCAAGCTTTGCTGCTCCGCCGCAAGATGTCGCCGATTATCCACGTTCAGAAGCCAAATAAAAGCCGCAAGATGTCGCTGGTGACAAATCTGAGTCCGGAACCGGAACCGATCACAGGGTGTTCCGCTGATGGAAATTCGAGAAATCCGATACCATTCAGAACCGGAATCGATCACAGGGTGTACCGCTGATGGAAATCTGAGAAATCCGATACCAGGTGGTTTATATGTCGAAAATTAGTAAAGTGTGTTGGTATGCAGTCAGAAATGTATACAAACGTACATACGTACATATGTATATACATATATAGATGCTCCACCCCTAGATAAGTGTTAATAATGTGTACATAGTTGATTGCTAAGTATTTAATATGTATGTGTATATGAATGGAAAGGCCTGTTGATGATGAGAACAAATAAAATTTAATTTGAAATAAAAGAAAGTTTTATAATTACTTATTTATTTTGATAATAAGAATTTAAGCATAAATGTCCACAATTATATGAATTATAGCTTTGCTGTTGATTATAGTTATAGCTAATGTTTTTTCCTAAATACTTTATTATTTGCTTAAGAGGCTGTAAGTTTCCAAAGCTATCGAAGTAATCAATCTCATTATCGTTTTTCCAGTAAGCTACCCAATGCGTTCCCGGACCCTTTGAACTATCCAAATTTATTATTCCACATTCTCTCTTAAATGGTTTACGGGGTAAAGTGTCACACATGAATACCCCTCTAAAATTTGGAATAAATTTTGAATACTTCTTAAGTCTACATCAGTAAGAGGTCTTCTGGGTACCTTCAGTAAGAGTTTTTTTGGTATGGTTTTAAATATAATCCGAATTCCTTTTTATAAGGCTTTAAAAACATTCCTTTTCCCATTGAAATAACTTCCATTGTATTATTATGACGTTTCGCCTCCAATAACTGCTCCTTTCCAGTTTTTATAGCATTGATTGTTTTAATAATTCCTGCTGTACCGCCAGATAGACTTCCAAGTGCTCCTAATGCTACGAATAAAGGCGCTAATGGGAGAAATCCTCCAGATTTAGGTAATGGTATTACACGTGGTG